GGCCCGGCTAGGGCCTTTTGCGTTTTGTTTTGGCTAAGTTTTGCCTTGCATGCGCCACACTACAAGTACTAGTACTAGTGAGTAGGCCCACTACTGCCAGTACTGGCACTGCATGCATTGCACTGCAGCGCGGCCGGCAGTAGACCACTACTGTACATGGTAAATATACAAAATTTCGGCGCTGCAAAATTTCGGCACTTCACGATTTTTGACATTTCGGCGGCGATTTATTTTCGGCGTGGGGTAGAGGGCATGGTATAGTGCGACAGCTACAGACGCTGTGAAAAATTTCGTTTAGGGCCTGGTCAGACTGCGGCAAAATCGAAATAATCCTAGGATTATAATCCAAATCTCCATAGTAACTTGCCGCCAGAGCGGCAAAAGCGAGAGTTGACGCTCCAAAAAAAAAGCAAGAACGGACCACGCTTTTCCGCTCCAAACAGGATTTGACGCTGATACGCCATTGACGCTGATAATCACTGATTTTTTCATCTCGATATCGAGGAGCTAATTGGCCACGGACAACAACAAAACTCATTAGGATGGTTGCAAGGATTGCACTGAAGGTGTTGGCGATCCCCAAGGTGAAGGAATTTGACGTCGTTCGTGGAGATTACCACTTGACGCTCGAAATGAAGTTTGAATTTTCACTCTCCCCACATGTGTAGTGTGATCGCGATTCAAATTCTGGACGCTGTTCTGTTTTCGTCAGGCAACCAAAATTTGCCGCAGTCTGACCAGGCCCTTAGGCGTTTTGGGTCGGTGCCGAATATAGCCGAAATTAAATAGCTGCCGAAAATTTGTACATGTATATTTACAGTACGCACTAGTGGCACTACGTATCTACGAGTACGGATGTGGCAGCACGTGGAGTGTATGGGAGTAGGTTAGAGAGGACAATGCTTGATGTTCGGGTGTTTAACCCTTTTGTCCCCTCCAACCGAAACCTTACTCTCCCGTCTGTCTACAGAAAGCACGAGCAGGAGAAGAGGCGTAAGTATGAACGGCGAGTCCTGGAGGTGGAGCATTCCTCGTTTGTTCCCGTGGTTTTTGCAACCACTGGCGGCCAGGGGAAAGCTGCTTCGGCACTCTTTGCCAGGATTGCCAGCAAGCTGTGTGAAAAGCGCCGTGAGCCTTTCCCGGTTATGATGGCTTTTGTATGGGCGAAGATCTCCTTTTGCCTTGTTCGAGCAATGGTTGCCAGTCTACGTGGTCACCGTCGGAACCCGCCTCGACATCTGTCTGGTTCGGCTGTGCGGGCAGCTGCTGAATGTGCCCTGGTGCCATAAACGGTGTACATGATACAGTACAGTTTCTTTGGTAAGGCCACCCTTTGTTAATTCATTGTTTAACGTCCTTTTTTTCGCGAAAAGGTACGCGGGAGGGCGGAAAAAAAACAAAAGCCCATTCCAAAAACTGGAAACCCCAATCAAACATTTTGACCAGTAAAGCATGTGATATATACAATATTTCTGGGTCTAACGGCACTTGCAGGCATAGAACAACACTCTTTGATGGTACATTGGAGCACATGCCTGATGAATCCAACAAAACAGGTACATAGCATGGAGTTAGCATGTCATGAATTCATTACATCTGGATTTTTACTTGGGCACACACCGTACGATATTTAAAAGCCAACAAAAAAAGAAAAAGAACACAAGACAAAGGCATGCCCGGGAGGCAAGATTATAAGTTTAGGGTCATGATTGGCACACTGTGAAACTACACAATCATGTATTTACAACTTCGCATATTATTGGTACTACTACTTTCTTGTTTTTTTTTCCGGTCGGAGGCAAAAAGGTACGCGGGCACGGACGTTAAACAACGAAAAAAGAAAGGGTGGCCTAATGGTGTTTCATTTACTTTTGTATTTTCAGTTCGTTTTCTTTGTATTTAACTCCTCATTGTTTTTTTTACCAGGCGTGGGCCATCCCCTGACTTCATAGGTGCCAAACATTTTACATTTTTCATTTCTATTTTGAGAGTTAATAAAAATCTACGAGTACGACCTCTACTCTAGACTACGAGTCGTACACACACACATACATTTATGTACATACCGGTATAATAATAATAATAATAGAGAGGTTCCGCATAACGTAATTACGTTAGTAAAAAACGTAGTCGATCTACGGAAAGTCTTACGTAAACTGCATGCGCATCTGGGTTCCGCCATACGGAGTTTTCAAATCACGTAGCTGCCCTTGGCAACTCCGAATGCGGCAGTGTACGACCAGATCGACATGGGGAGAGAGTCATAAATTTGTACCCCAATCCACTTACGGACCAGCTACGTTATCAGAGCCCTATCTACGTACTCTCCGTAGACAACTTTCCGTAAGTGGAGTGTAAACTCGCGAATTCACGGGTTTTTCCCGCCCACTAACGTAAAGTTGCTCAACTTTACGTAGTGCGGAACCTCTCTAATAATACTAATAGTAGGGATGTCAGCGCGGACACTGCGCAGGGCTTTGCGCATTCAATGATGTAATCGATTTTTCAACGCGGCGATGGCAGACTGAGGCTGCGTTTACACGACAACGCTGGGGGCGAAAACGCAACGAAATCCTTTCGGATCCATGGTTCATTTAGGGCGCGCTCACACTGCGACCAAAACCAGCGTCCATGCGGCCATGCGGCCAAGTTGCATGGCAACGGCATGAACTTGACCAAAACGTCGCGGCCACGTTTCAAATCGTGACCGCGACCTCCGGAGGGGGGTGCCACGACTTGGCGGCAACATGATCGTAGACGTGAAGCGTATTTGTGTACAACCTGGCCTGAAGTATATTCAATTTCTCAAATTCCGGTGTGTTGATTCATGAAACTCGGCGGTTGTCGATGTCATCCTCGACATTTGCACATTTTCAAAATTTTGTAGTTGTGGTCTTGCACGCACGCACCGCCATATATGCATTCTTTGCCCTTTTTGGACGATGTCAATTTTGTTTTTGTTTTTGTAGTTGCTTCGTCGATCGTTGACAGGTGATCAGGTCAGTGACCAATTATTTCTACAGTGTACTCGTTCAATACGATGGCAGCTTGGTCTGGCTTTTCGGTTCGCGAAATCTACTTTTCTGCGATGATGGAATGCCATACCTCAAGACATTTCAGTTACATATCATCGGAAAATACAGTTCTCATCTCGGCAACAGACGAAAGAAACCACTACCGGAATTTCCACTGCACTGGCACTTGCTCTGACCACGAGGTCAGGAAAGCGAAAGCGCTTGGCTGTCAGCGGCAGTTCCTCTAGAGTCCAAACCTACTTGATTGTATGAATTATTTTCGTCGACTTCAAGCCACGAGGCACTTCCTCCAACATGCAACATGCGAAAAATTACATCCAAAACGGGCCACAACTTTATTAGGAAACGCACGAACTCTTTTGGATACGAACTGCAATTCGTAAAGTTTGTGTGACAACTTCACGTCTACGCGTGTACGAGGCCTAGTGTGAGCACGACTGCCACGTTTCTGCGTTTTGCTGACGCATGGACGCGTGCTCATGGTCGCAGTGTACTAGTGTGAGCGCGCCCTAACACGGTACGCGGAGCAAAACGTAAAAGTTGTACACCAAAACGGAAGAAAACCAAAACGCTGGCCAAGGTGGAAGAATTTGAAAACGGAAATGTTCTGCCGGATAAATTTGGGTGTGTAAACAGTCGAAACGGTGTGCTGGCCTCGTTTTCCGTCACATTTGTTTCATATTTGTTTCATTTGTTTCACATTTGTTTCACATTTGAAAGAAAATGGCGATCGCCAAAAACCGGCTCAGTGAGTCGCTATTTGACGACTCCCCGATGCAGCTCGACCTAGATTTTGAAGTTTGGAACATTTTTAGAGAGAAAGAGAGGGAGAGAGAGAAAGAGAAAGAGAGGGCTAGAAAGAAAGATTACTCAAGCTAATGCTTCAGTAGAGTCACTAGAAGTTCTGGGCACACTGATAGGCTAATATCATCTGACGATTTCCACAGCTTGTGCCGCTTGTTGCAGAGCATAAGTGAAAATGCGCCTCCAGAAGATCGGCGATCGTGAAGTCGGCTTTGGGTAGATTTGGCTTTCGCCATCCCGAGGAGCCGCTCCTGTTGCCTGTGAGAACCAAACCACGTCTCCACACGACTACTCGAACAAAACCCTGTCCACACCTGACAATCGATGTCTCTGGAACAACGGCCCAAATGCACGGCGATATGTCAGAAATGCAGAAATTCACAAGAACGAACACCGTCACGTGGAGCATGAACGCTTCGGTCAAATTTCCTACAAACTCTCAACATCCAACATCAAGTATTTCTGCCGGGTTTACCATTGAATCCAGAGCTTTTCCCCGGTTAAATCCAGAGATTTTCAACTCGGAGATCGTGGCAACGATCGGCATGGTCGCCATTTTCCGCTCTGAAAGAACCATGTCGTTTGGAACGAAAACGGCTTCGCGCCTTCCAACGAAAGCTACAAATCGATTCCAGAACACATGGGCGGCCAACATACCAAACAAGATCCCATTCTGGTAAGCAGGTAGCCTGTAACCACCATCTCCTTGCAAGGAAATTTCAGCCATTTCTCCTTCGTTCAAGGTCTCAATTTTCTGCAAAAAATAGCCAGTGTTTGGCAAAAATTCTGCATGCCACTTCTGATGCGCGTTTGGCTGCATGCGCGAACTGCATGCGCAGTGCACGCGCTGAGATCCCTACTAATAGTCGACAGCTGCAGCGCGTAGATCTAGTAGTGCACTGCACAGTGGCTGGTCTCAGTGGTGAGCTGCTAAGTCACACTAGCGCCTCTCGCTCTACCGTCCGTGGAGCCACGCATCTGACATGCACCTCCGCGATCCGGAGCTCCAGCTCCGCGCGGATCCGCATATGCTGAGTGATTGAACACGTGGCGCGCATATCCATGATCGCATGCATGCATGCCGCCGCAAAAAAAGTCAAAAACAATGACGTGACTGCGAATATGAGCTGAGTCAGTGAGCGTGGAGGTACATGTGGGCTTGCTTTGGCAACTCGTGGCTTTCTTTGTAGTTCGGTTCCTGGTTTGTACTATTATTTTGGCCTTTGAAGAGTGTAAACGACCGACAAGAGCAAGACGGGCGAACATGCTTGTCCTCTTGTATTTATAGTACTGTCTTCCTCTCCATTCACAATCGTTTTCAACCAAACTTCTGCGTCAATTGCCTTGTAAGTTCGCCAACACCTTCCGTTCTCAAGGTAGGGCTGAATAATCATTATTCTTGCCTATTTATGTTATTCGTGCCAAGACATGCTCGTCTGGCCTCCCTCTTGCCGTCAAGCTTTACTTTATCTTTGACCGTTATGCAGCTGCTGTAGTTTTATTGTGTGTGAATGTCTTTGTGAAGCCTTTCCTTAGTTGTTCGTGAAGTAATTTTTTTGTGGTTTGCTTTTGGTTGAAAATCCTGCGTACAATTAGTTTTGACTTGGGATAGTTGGTGAACGATATCAATGGCACTCCTGTGCACCGGTTCGCGGTGTGGGGTCGAAGGTAATTCGTTCATAAATCTGATTTGTTACACAAATATTGTAATGCGTTATCTCTGCAGGAACCCAATGACGAGAATTTTTGCTTTTCTTGAATACGCATTCAAATCTATTGAACGTTGTTTTATTCCCTTGTTGTATTTGTAGGCACAATAACTAGGTGCGTGTTGCATCTAGACTTCTTCTGTGTCAATCTCGTGGGAGAGTCGTGAATATCGAAACGACGCCACCATGTCAAATCAGCAGCAGCAGGGACCACCATTTCGCCCACCGACGCAAGCTTCTGGCAGCGCGTATGCAAGCAAAGCAGTTGCTATTCCAACAGGCAGGACTCAGCAGCATGCTGTGCCTGCGCACAGGCCACCCCACGGCCACGTTGTCGGGCACAATCCGGTGGCATCGCCGCCCTCTCAGGCGCCTGGTGTCTCGCTGGCCGGCTTACAAAGTATGGCTTATCGACCGCCACCAAGCGCCAACATGGGTCATGTGAGTAGTAATCTACTGGCAAAGTGTTGTTTTCACTTTGTAAATGTACTTTTAAAATATTAGTCAATTTAAAAAAAGAAAGAAAACAAAACAATGAACTCTGCGATATTCTGCTTGTCATTGTTACTAACATCTTATTGTGATTGGAGACATGCCTCATTTGCAGTTGATAGCATCGATGGGTCATGATATGAATGAATCAACATTGTAATGAGGATCTGTGGGGATGTGTACATGTACTGGCAACTTCTAGTTTTGAGCGAGCAGTCCCCGGGTTGCTGTTCCGTTGGTGCATGTGGCCACCAATGACCGTGTCATGTGCACGAGCATGATGCGCCATGGCTGTGCTATTGGAAGGTTCTCTTGCCTGTATCGCTGCTACCCCGTTGCTACAAGAGAGATGGTCGACGTGCGGCGCTGTCAGGCGCAATGCATTTCGTTTCGGGCCAAACACATGCGCTGTGGCTTTCGGTGCAGTTAGTCAGGGGGTCGGCACCACTTGATGTGACAGCAAAGGGGTCAGCTCTGGGTGGCATGCCAGTTGAAGTCGTTCTCCTGTCAGGTGCAGGCTCTACACTGCCACTGGTGTTCACGTTAGCGCTTCGAAACCGATATTTGACACTTTAGTGGACTGGTGTTTGAAGTGCTCTGTCCCATACGTGTGCGTTCAATAGTTTTACCCTGGTGTCTGGACAAGGGCTTGGGACCCACCGAGCATGCAAACATATAGCACATATTGACATCCTATAATTATACCATAATACTCATAAAAAGGACACACTTCAGGCTCATTACAAACATCTTGAAAGTTTTCGTCTTCACAAGTATACTTTCAAGCCTTCTCAACAGGTGAAATACAGGCCACCTGTTCCTTTTCCCTTGCCTGTATTTCACCTGATGAGAAGGCTTGAAAGTATACTTGTGAAGACGAAAACTTTCAAGATGTTTGTAATGAGCCTGAAGTGTGTCCTTTTTATGAGTATTATCGCATTTTTGTCTCAGAGGAAACTGTATAATTATACCATCGCTTGTTCATCCTTTTGTACTATACACAACCTACTGCAAGAGTGGAGATGGTTCGGCTAAACAATTATTATGTATTTTGATTTTGTGGTGGACCATCCCCATTTTATGTTGTACAAATTAGTTCAAGGAAAACGCTTGTAATGTGTTGACACCCTGTACAAACACTGCAAATCTTTCCTGCGAGGGGCATTGCATCGTAAGAATGATGTCACCTTGAAATTCTATCGGGGCAGCAGGGTACTCTAATTTCAGAGATTTTCGGTGCTCAATATTTTCGGTATGAGGGCAACAGGCTAGGTTAGGTGAACAGAAATTTTCGGTACGGAGAAGCAGTTCCCTATTGGATTATGTGTGTTAGTGTTTGTTCGGTGTGTTGAAATTTTAGGTGTGAAACAGACACACCGAAAGTACCGAAAAAAAGTACACCGAAAAATTGTGAAATTACAGTATACAGGAACTGCACACTCTTGGGGGTTACGTGCCCTTGCCGAAAGGGACAAGCGTGCAGGTGAGCATGGGAGTGTGCACTTACACGCACATCATCGTTACCTTTTGGTATGGTGTCTGATGCTATTTTTCTGCTTTGCTTTTTGCCTTTCCTATGATAGATCGTTTCACCGGCTGCGGCCACGCTGATGCTGGGTAGCGCCTACGGACCGCCGGTGAGCAATCAACCTCTGCTTGTGCACATACAGATGAATACAGTCATGTACTTCCTTCATCAACTAAAGCTTGGCTTCTTGTGATTGGTTTTCGTACAGAAAGCATGAGAAGTTTAGTTCATGGCACGAGCACTGTATTAAACTAATTACTTCTTATTTATATTTACATTCCAACCATGTGCTGTGTCTGTATTGTGGTCTGCTGCGATGTTCGGCTCAGCACATTCTTGGAGCTACGCCGCCGGGGTATGTCCAGTTCCCTGGCACTTCACCACAGTATGGTGTTGTGCCGCAAATCCACCCAACCCAGCACGCGATGCCTGCTACACTGCTGCCTGGCCAGCAGCCACCAACACACTATTCACAGCAACACCAGCTGCAATATATGACACAGCAGCAGCCAGCTGCCGTCGCCACTGCTGGTATTCCAACCCCGCAGGCCAGTGGTGTCGCGCATCATCACCAGCAGCAGCCGCCGTTGCCTCACCACCAGCAGCAAGCAGCGTGGCAGCAGCAGGCAGCACTCCAGCAGCAGCTGCAACATCAGCATCAGTCACAGGGTGCCACTGCCACTGGTCATCTTTGGCCACCACCACCTCAGCAGCTGCAACATCAGCATCAGCCACAGGGTGCCACTGGTCATTGTCAGCCATCACCACCTCAGCAGCACCAACAGCACCACCAGCAGCAGCAGCACCAAAAGACACCGCAGCCGCCGTCTTCCGGTGAGTCCAGCGCACAGCCGACGCCTGGACGCTCTACTGTCCAACAACGTCGTCCGAGTCATACGGTCACCTTGAAAAACCCGGACACTGGCAAGGACCTCACAGATGAAGTAAGTTACTTGTGATCACTCTGGAGTACGTGTCTTTATAAGGTCAATATTTGGGGTCTAAGCCGCACCACCCTTTTATGCAGTCCAGCATGCACACTATACTGCACGTCAGACTTGATTTTTTTGGCAACCTAATGCAATGGGCACCAGTGGAACGTTCTAGACAGCGACATGTTTTAGTTTAGAAACTCTAGTGGAAAAACAATTTATGCCTATAGTTTCCCTTGCTATAGTTGACGGCGGCTGAACCGTCGTCAACAACTGCGTTGTTAGAGTCGCGGAGGATTGTACCCTTTTTGGAAACTCTTCATCCAGAAGGCGTCACTCGCTTCAAGACAGTGTTTGCTTTCTCCACCGAAACCGGGTCAAGCCGCAACGGTGCTGACAAGAGTGATAGTGTTGTACTTCATTTGGAGTTCGAATGCCGATTCCTTTTCTTTACGTTGAAGCAACAGGAAGCTGTAGTTCATGGCCCGCGACGATCGCTGAACGATGTGTTGACGCACAACGTCTTGGAGCTCTGCTCGGTGTCCGAGTATGACCAGTTTCACTGTTCCAGGCGGTCTGATCGAGCTGTTGATGGAGCATGCTATGTACATGTTATACCTGCTTTATTTTGTAAAGGTCTTAAAATAGGAGGATCTACACGCACAAGACGATGAGGAAGCGGATGAGAATGCAGTTAATGATGTGGAGACAGAAGAGTAAACGGATGAAGAAGAAGAAGCAGAGGATGAAAGTGACAGTGTGATGAAGGCGGCGGTGAGATGGATGAACAAGAGTCTGGCGGGAAAGAGCTTACGAATACAAGCAGCTTCAAGGATGTTGGACTGATTTCCATAGCGGAGATGATGACAAGGAGGCAGATCTACATGCACAAGGCATGCGGATGAGAGCGCAGTTATTGATGTGGAGACGGACGAGGAGACGGATGAAGGAAAAACGGAGGATGCAGGTGGCGGTGAGATGGATGATCACGAGTCGGGCGGGAAGGCGCAGGAGGAGCCACATGAGTGTATTGTCACTAAGAAGTCAGCTGTGCACTTGCATTTGGTGTCCCATCCTGTTTTAGCGTGTAGGAGGACTTGTGTTTCCCTGTACTTAGTCGTGCCTGCTATGTCAATCAGTTCTTGAAGCGGTTTGTGTTCGTATGCACAAGCCTGATTTGTGCAAACAGAAGGAACACGTTGTTGCATTACGCTTATATTCGTAAACTCGCTCTTCTTGTTCTTCTACACCTTGCCGTGTATGATCACGACTTCGTTTACGTGCCTTTTCTTTTCAAATTGTTTCATCACGTTGATCAGCAGCCCTTATATGTCTATTGTGTCACCGCACGACTACTTAGCCGGTGTTTGTTCACCGTTTACCCTTTAACTTCTGTAAATTCCACTGGTGACCGATTAATAAACATTTTGTCTCCTCGAAGATTTCCTGTTCTTATTGTGCACAGTTCTTGTCATAATGGAATGCATGCATGCTCCATACCACAAATACTACTTCCTCCGCGTCATTAAAATTGTCGCTTCGCACATCGCAGTGTTTGTGACTTGCTTGTCTTAGTCGGTGTGTCGGAATCGCTGTTTTCTGTGTTTGAACATTGCTCCGACCCTTCCTACACAATGTCTATTTGCTACGGAATCTGTGGTGGTCTCGGAGCTCTCGTCCGCACCAAACAAATTCATCGCGCTCCGCACTATTTCGCCCCAGAGCGCGTATTTTTTTCTGTTTCCACGTACTTCCTCCGCGTCATCGAAATTGTTGCAGTTTGACTAGTGACTTGTCACTTGTTACTGACAACTCCATAAGCTAAACCATTCAAAACTTATTACACAGTATGATAGTCTGAAGGCTAGAGTAACGTTCCAGGACAGTTGGACTGAGAGTTTTCACGCAGAGATGAAGGCCTCGTCGTCGCTGATGTCAATGGACGCAAAAAATATCGTTCCGAAATATTTCAAGGAACGCTGTAAGTTGGTCGCGCCTCATCTCAAACGCTTTGACTTTCTCCACAGGACACGAGCTGCTATGCTTGTCGTCTGCTAGCCCTGGATGATTTCTACTTCACCACCAACGAAGTAAGAATACACACGATCGTTGCGAGGTCGGTTGATTACGGTCGGCGGAATCACCTCGATCTTGAAATGAACTGTTTTTAGCCGTGGCATGCCCAATTATTTTAGCTGTGTGGTCACAGCTCATGCAGGTAAGTGTACTATCACGTCCAGCGCGCCCTCTTTTTCAGCATCACTGGTACGGCACCTGCGCGTGCATCACTAGCACTACGTGTAGACTCTACACGGCTCTTAATGGTACAATCATGTACTGAGTGTCTCAGCCAGAGCGACAGATTTTATCGCTGTTGCATGCATTTAGTTTGCTGACCCCTTGATGTTTCTCCAAGTGTGTCCAAGCGCTGCCACTTGTTTCACAAAGTCATTCTCACCCAGCTAAGGTAAAACAGTGATGAGGCTTTGAGTGAATGGCCATAAGCACGAGAAATGTGCAGGCTGCAATGCCTGAATGATCTCAGCGAGTCGAAATTACCATCGCAGCGACATCAGCGAAGAAATTGCGTCTAGTTCAAAGATTTCAGCTTCCAATAACAGAAAATAGAACTTTGCCGTCACCCTATACTGATGACTATTGCCTATGTCCGATTCCTTGCATCTGGTGCGAGTGCTGGTGAGTAAATACCCCGTTTTATATCAAAAGTCAAATTGCGACAATTTCGATGACGCGGAGGAAGTAATTTCTTCAATCCTAATAAGATATCGATATTTATGGACGGCTCCTTCCTATTTGGGTGCCGATCAATATTTCTTGGTGTTTTTCGTTGAGATGCCGATTTTAATGACGCATAGAGGGGTGAGAAAGGCGCTTGGTAGGTACATATGAGTGCTCAGATGTGGGGAGTCCACCTACTGAAATGTTTACTTCTTGGTTATGAGCTGCACACTACCAGCCTTTGACACCAGCCTTTGACTCAGTGAAGCTACCAGTTGTGTGATCGTGTTAGGTGAATTCCGACCGCAAGTGCTTCTGAAATGGCAGCATGGACTTGCGCTGCCCGTGCTGCACTGGCCCTGGAAGTGATGCGAACCCTGCTGGATGTTTGTTTTTTTCTTTCTTGTGACGATCTTCCAAAAAAGCAAATAGACGCTAGTCTAGGGAGTGGATGTAGTACTGATCGGAGCTGGTCCAGTGTACCAGCTTTGTACTCATTTTTTGATTTTTGTTTTTTTCACTTTGAGTTGCATGGCAGAATATCGCATTGCTATGACATTTCTAATGAAAATGGCAAGACTAACAGCAACCGTTTATTGGACACTTCAACTCCTCTTTTCTTTCTTAGATGTTTCTCCAAACTTGACAGGGGTAACTCAAACACCTCCTTAGTTTTGGTAATGTACTTTGGCTGGCCTGGGCGTCTTGGCCTTTTCACACTACGCTGTATGTAGGTTTGGCATGTTTTGTGCGATGGTTTATTCATGCACGTGCCTTGATGATGTTTTTGCGTGCTGTAGGTTCTAAGGCCCTCAGCGAAGCCACAGATGCCTCACCAGCCAACCGGCGCTCAGAGTGCAATGCCTGCGTATTACTACCCAGGCTTTCCTGCGTACGTGGCACCAAGCAATGCCCTCAGCGGTGGCATGGCTGTCACAGCCGCTACAGTTGCTTCCACGTCAGGCGTGAAACCGATGCGCACCAGTGGAGCCAGATCCAAAACGGATCCACCCGCCACCGGTATGAGGCGTAGCAGTAGCAGCAGCAGCAGCGATGCTTTTGCAGCCAAGGCTACAGTGGTACGGACCTCTGAATCCGCTGAGGGCTCTGCCGCCAAGTCCATCACAGCGGCATCTGTGGTGTCGGACAAGCCATCTACAGAGGCATCGGCTGGAAAGTCGGCCGAGGTTTTAGCTGCAAAGTCTGCCGAGGCGTCGGTTGCGAAGTCTGCCGAGGCGTCGGCTGCGAAGTCTGCCGAGGCGTCGGCTGCGAAGTCTGCCGAGGCGTCGGCTGCGAAGTCTGCCGAGGCGTCGGCTGCGAAGTCTGCCGAGGCGTCGGCTGCGAAGTCTGCCGAGGCTTCGGCTGCGAAGTCTGCCGAGGCGTCGGCTGCGAAGTCTGCCGAGGCGTCGGCTGCGAAGTCTGCTGAGGCTCCAGCTGTAACATCTGCTGAGGCGCCAGCTGCGAAGTCTGCCGAGGCGCCAGCTGCGAAGTCTGCCGAGGCGCCAGCTGCGAAGTCTGCCGAGGCGCCAGATGCGAAGTCTGCCGAGGCGCCAGCTGCGAAGTCTGCCGAGGCGCCAGCTGCGAAGTCTGCCGAGGCGCCAGCTGCGAAGTCTGCCGAGGCGCCAGCTGCGAAGTCTGCCGAGGCGCCAGCTGAGAAGTCTGCTGGGGTGGCAAATGCGAAGCCTGCTTATACGTCAGTTGCGTCTGATGCTGTGGTACCGACTGTGAAGTCTGCCAGGGCACTGGCTTCAAAGCCTAGCAAGGCGCTGGCTGCGAAGTCGGCCAAAAAGTCAAAATCTGACGAAGCAATGGGTGCCAAGACTAGGGTGCGTCGTGCCACAACACAGACTACGTCCACTGATCCTCGCCAAATGTCCAGTCCAATCGGTGGCGCTGCACTGTATGCCCGTGGGGCACCTCGTCGTGCAGTTGTGGCAGGCAAGAAAAACATGCAATCGGATGTGAAGCCTGGTTTTCTACCACCGAGTCCTTCTCCGGCCACTGCCGGTGCCACAACGTCGGACGCTGCTACGCATGAGGAGAGGAGTACGCAGCAGTCACCGGACCAATCCCCGGCTGGTTCTCCGGCTGATTCCCCGGAGCCGATGGCTAAAGGTAAGGACATATTTTGCTGTGTGGCTCAGTATGTTTTACCTAGGACTTGTTTGTTAGGCCAATCTGGATTGAGACCAAATTCACTGGAGTTGTCAGTGCAGCAGTTCTCCATGAAACTAAACAACTGGCTGCATTCCCCAGTACACTTCGCATACATACGAAGGTTTTCTCTTCGACCTACACATTTCGATCTCCAAAAGACCAAGATTTGGCAAAGTTCTGGTAAATTGTAAATGCCTATCCCGTCGGTCCCATTGGTTCGATGCTTGTACCAGTATGTACAGACAGTAGAGAACGGACTGGCTAGAATTTTACCAGGCACAGGATACTTGTCTGTACATGGTGGCTCAGCAATCTACTGAGTATAGATATGTACATGAAAAATGAGAACAGCCTAGTCTACAAGTCTGTTCTTTGGCACCAGGCAGTACTGGAATACGGCACATGTTAACTTTGCCTAGCTGTCAGAGAGTTTGTTTCCAGTGGATGTGTGTATGTATTCGTATGGCTATTACTGGCACTTGAATGTTCTTTTTTCCTTACCGTGTGTGTGCGTGTTTGTGTGTGTGTGTGTGTGTGTGTGTGTGTGTGTGTGTTTGTGTGTGTGTTTGTGTGTGTGTGAAGTGTCCAAGGGCAAAAGTGCCAGGAGCTTCCGCTACCGGGAACTTCCTGATTCTGACCCATTGACTGGCTATAAGGACAAGCCAGCCCGAGAGGAGGTTAGGAGGTGCCATTACATGTATCTGTTAAGGTGGCTCCTACCACTCGGGTCCAAATTTTTTTGTTTGAAACGTGGCTACAAACGATTGTACTTTGTTCCGTAGGATATCTAGTGTACGGAGACAAAAATTTTATCAAGTTCTACCGGCCGGTTTCACTCGGGGGAGGGGCCAAACATAGCATACTCACAATTGCCAATTTAGGCCAAAAAACACCAGAAAACCACTTTTTTGGCCGTAGCACTCGTAGTTACCCCATTTTTCTTGATGTCCAACATCAGGACAGTAGTATACTTGCTAAATACCAGCATAAGCTTTAGAAGTGGGTAGAATTCTGCTAGAAGGTGACCTTTTTCTCTTTTCGGAATCATCCCATTTCAGCGCACACGTCCCACATATTAGCCCCGCCCACAAGTATTTGACACTGGACTTGCCCTGTATTCGATGGTTATGCTATCATAATCTAATAATGGTACTGTGTAGCAAGTTTGAGCAGGTTCTACCGAAGGTAACTCTTGAAATAAAACTTTGAAGTGTCAAGTGATGCCATATTTTCAAGAATCAGCACATTGCACTGGGACACTGTCCAACGCCTTAGAACCCCTTACTCCACCATATGACAGATACGTATCTTGCAATAATTGATTGCAACATCTTCCGAACATAGTAGTAGAGCTTTGGATCAAGTTTTAGCAGTTTCCACCGAACCTAACTACCAAAATAGAACTTTGAAGTCGCCCACATACTAAATGCAATAGCTGAGCATGAGCATTGAGTGTATGGTCTAAAGGTTTTCACAACTAGCTCCAATGCGGCAGATACGTGTCTTACATTACTTGATTGCAACATCTTCAGAACATAGTATTAGAGCTTTGGATCAAGTTTAGACAGTTTCTACCGCAGTTAACTACCAAAATAGAACTTTGAAGTCGCCCACATACTAAATGCCATACATGTAGCTGAGCATGTGTATTGAGTGTACATGTATGCTCTAGTGTTTTTCACAACTTTCTCCAACATGAAGCCAATAGTGATGTGGAATTTGTTGACTGCTTTGTCCAAAACATAGTGCTGAAGCAATGCACATTGGGCACTTTCTACTGGTAATGTAATTATTATTATACAGTGTTTGCTGCCAACATAGCAAGCAATACTTCTATACTAAATGCGTATTCCATTGGGTACGGTCCAATGGCTTTTCACTTCGCATCTAGCCACTGTTCTTCGTGCATTACTTGAATGCTTAGTCTCCGTGGTAATGAAGCTAAGAGCCACACTGGAGAAGTTTCTACTGAAGCTAACTATCAAAAATATAAAATTTCCAAGATGCTACTATTACATAAAGTAGCTGTGTGCAATGCCACTCTGTTGAACACAGTAAGCAAAATTGCGTCACTAAAACCCTATTTGCCAGATATAAGCTGTTGAGACTGATAGTAGCTGAGCTGTATGATCTGATATGGATGGCGGTTCCACACTGACCAGCACATGTACACGTGCACAGGCAGAAGAACATACAAGTAATACACCTAACGTTACTTCGAAGTACATCATGTAAATACAAGCTATATACAAGCATCACTCCTGTTCTCCACAACCGGCAGTCCTGGGCCACTCCAGCTGGTCAGAGTGCAATAATTTCTGCAGCAGGCTTGACTTGGAAAGCTAATCACAACTGCCATGGCTGCAACATGAGTATTACCAGCGCTACTTGTATTATATTATTGTCAATCCCTTGTGGTGCATGGCACTCGTTTTCAACAACCGAGTTTATGTCATTAGTTGCACATCCAACGCCAGTAGAAAAAAAGAAGGGGTGGGGCAAATTACCACGGTTCAACACTAGTCATATTGAACGGCGTTATGCCATGCCAGGCGTGCACACAAAACGCCCGCGCGAGTGCGCATGCATGTACACACCCGGGTAACGCACATTCGTGCGACTTTACATAGCCTGCACTGTCGTTCTATGTCATAGGAGTGAGTGCACACACATATATGTACATGTAGATTGCCTAATTTTGCATACGTAATAAAATTGTGTAAGTATACACACATGTGCTTGCACATATAAATAGACTCAGCGGCATACGCATGAGTGTGTGCCGATAGGGCCACATGCCAATTATCGGATTAGTCTGTAAAAGTTGCACGGCACGACAAACTTTCGGGCAGTCTAAAGATATGACACAATGAATGTGGAATACCCACCAGTGTGTAAGACCATTTCATACCTATTTCGCAGCGTGTGATTTTCGGAGCGTCCCTGTTGATATTTGATGTCCTCACTTGGTTGATGACACAGTCACAAATTATCAAATTCACCTCCAATGCCATCCAATCTGCGTTCCGCGATACATGTACAGTGAACGGTGTTGAGGAAAGCCATGCAGCAATAAAACAGTCGAGACTCCCAAGCAGAGGATACAATTCAACAGCGTATTGAAGTACGAATTGTTGTAAACAATTTTCAAGACACAATTACAAAATTTGAAGTACGCCTTGAAACGTGTTTGAAGTGCTTCGATGTATTTACCTTCGATCTCCCTGAATCGATCATCCACAGCTACCTGACGAATTTGCCAGTCAGTGCGGGAGATGATCGAGCAAGTTTTATTTGAAGTAGGGGTGAAAGGATTATGTGGTTTAGTCGATAAATTAATCGAAAAAATCTAGTCGATTATGATTTTTCTAATCGCTACAGCATTTTCATACGTACTATACGGTACGACGAAATATCCGGCATGTGCAGTGTGTCTACATGACTTTACTGCGTGCAGCACATGTACCAGAGTACGAGTGGATTCGCGCGTGCAGCGCTCACAGCGAGTTGCTCATGCTCTGGATACACACTACACGCGTAGACTCTACCCGGTAGATCTACCTGATGTACTCTCTAGATCTATTGTATGACATGCGGCTCTTTTCTCTGCACCGTGCACTGATTCGTACCCGCGAACTTTCGTTCCGGTTGCTTCACGGAACTCACTATTCTGGACAAGTAGCCTTCAGAATCAGTTTGTGCCTGTGCGACGGTCGATGTTTCCTTTATTTTTGTTCTCTTCGAAGTTCCAAAATTGATTGTAGTTGATGCAAAATGGTGAGTTTTTTCGTCAGTGGTGCTTAATCCATAATAATCGATAAGTAATCGATAAGTTTTGGATTAACCGTTAAGGAATATCCCTTAATCGTTTCACCCCTGATTTGAAGGTCGCGAGATGTCAGTGGCACTGGCAGAAAATCTACACAAGCGTATTCTGAAATAATTTTCTAAGACTCAGGCGTGATTCAAGAGCGGACTTTGATTTCTCCCTTCTTATAGTACGAGCACCAGTCGACATTGCATTCTTGGAAAATCTTCTGCGAGTGCTGCCTTCCCCTTTCATAGAAAGAACGAGTGAAGAGGGACACTAGCAGCAGGTTCTAGCTAGGTCGCCAGAATTGCAGAAAAGCGAGAAGACGTTTCCTACAACTATTGATCGCACAAAAATCATCGCTACCGAAAAATTTACTGAAAATCTACAGTTTTCAAACGATGCGCGCGCAGAGGGTGCGAGCCACCACGGTCACCAGCAAAAACTGTAGGATTTGGTAACTTTCTGGCTAAGGGGGCGTTCGTTTTTGATCTACAGGTTTGGGTAGAAACTACTTCTTTCGGTAGAGGTGTTCGGTTTTTTTCAACTCAAAAGGGTAGATTTCTACTTTCCTCTACCGGCTCTACCAGGGAAAAGTTGGTAGAAGCCGGTAGAAGTTGGTAGATGTACGGGATTTCCAGATCAAGGAATTGTACACAACCCCATACAGAAGAGAAATATTTCACGTACAGAACGTGAAAAACTACTAATCCGGTAGAACAGCGTTCGTGCACTTAGGGGCCTTCCGTAAATACCGATATTACCGCCTCCCCCTCCCTGAGAAACAAACACGTACTAATTGTACATAGCATCGATATATTTTGATCTTTTTTTTCTGGGCATGCTCATGCGTGCAACATGAACATCGATATTTTTCGAGATACGAACAGGCGCTCAACCCCCCCCCCCCCCCAAACGACTAGTTTTCGTTTCTAAATAAATATCTATATTTACGGATGGCCCCTTACCTCTACCATCTACCTCTATCGGTAGAGTGACTCTACTCTATTCTACCAGGTAGCTAAAAACAAACGCAGCCTAAAGGATTTCGATAAACAACCTATGCAAATTGACGAAATGAATTTCATGAGGTGTTTGGAGCTGTCCGAATCAGTAGGGCTTGAAAGTGATGACGGCAGAAGTCAAAATTTAACGAGAAATAACGCTCTTTGGATCCACTGAGGTCCAGTTTTGTATGAGTCCATACACGTTTGATAGGCTGTCATAATGAATATTATCCCGTTTTGGATTTTGTCACCGTAGACGTAAACGGTAGTCAGAAAACATAGTGTGATGACGGCCTTACAATACATTATACTATTTTTGAGTATATCTTAGACCCACTTCTCCGAACACAACGGACGGCGGGACAGCAGACGGAGCGAAACGAGTTCGAGCCAAGATCGTCAGTCGGTAGAGTGAGAGCGAAAAGGCACACAACTTTTCCCGGGCGTCAGTATGGTCATGATTATTGGAATAAAATCAAGAATCCTATTTTTGTAGTGGTGGAGGTGATACTCAACAAATCCTATATATTTATAAAATATTATAAACTTGACTAGTTTGAGGGAAAGACACAAATGGGAAAAGTCTGAAGAGAGAAAAAAATTATAAGATTTGACAATTTGAGACATTGTACTAGAGAGGTTGTGCACAACGAAAATCCGTAAGATTTGGTTGTAACGGCCTGGTCTAACGGAAGTTGTATGAACTTACGTCAACCTTTCACAGAAAAATAGCTGAACAACGAGAATTACTTTCGTTGCGATCACTGTACTGCCACGCAGTAAAGTACGACTGGCGCACACTTTTTTTGTAGTGTGTGCATGCCTTGCTGTCGAGACCTATTTCCTCTCGGGTTATGTACTCTTGCTAGCCTTGGTAGAATGGGTTGCCTCTGGTTTGTGATGCGGGCGAGTGGATGCAGTTGACAGTAGATGTCTTGTGTGGAAGTAGACCCGTCACTGGCTTTCCCAGCTGTTTGGCTCTGTTCCAGCACTCCTTTCCATTGCATTTTTCTTGTCTGTTCTCTATTGAAGGCTAAGCCAGAGAGTAAGACGGGTGCCAAGAAGACCAAGCAACAGCAAAGGCCAGCTCCAGAGCAACAGCAAAGGCCAGCTCCAGAGCAACAGCAAAGGCCAGCTTCAGAGCCGACATGGGATGAGAAGGATGATCGTGAGCTGGTCGCTGACCTCCCAACGTCTTTGCATGGCAGTGTGGCCAGTGCTGAACCCGTCCAATCAGATTCGAAAACTACAAAGCCTGGAACACCATCCGATGAAAAAAAGACCTTCAAGACCGCTGTCCCAGGTATCCGTTATCCAGATGAAGGTAGGTGCTGCCAGAAATGACTGGAAAATGAAATAATGAAGAGGCGCTATATTTCGATTTTGGAAATATCTTTCGACCACTGGTTTCGAGAGTTAACTCTTTTAGTCATTTGTGTACCAGCCCCATCACGAATCGTACCATATGGTACGGCTTGCTGCACTCCAATCAAGCGTGCCGTTCCCCACCGCCGTAGCTCCGATCGACTCGCGGTTTTTTACGCTGTACAGCTGAGATCCCACTGAAAATTTTGATGTATGACATGGGTAGGTTGCCATATGAAAGTATGGAGAACGAACGCTTTCAAAAGTATGCTTTTCAGCGCAAACAATTGTCGCTATTTCGATCGTGTCCTCGCTCAGTTTCGCTGCTTGTAGCGAAGATGTAGCTTGTTCCAGGTAATGTCAACCTCTTCTAGATGTGGTGGACGCTTGGAGAGATCTGCTGTGGCGACATCATCGCGGAATGCGACTCGAATTTGCAAATTTGTATTGCTGATCCCATCGCAGTATTCGCTCTCCAAACAGGAGTGAGAGGGAGGGCAGCGATGGCCTTAAATTGCCAAGGCAGGCGTATTCACCAGCCAGCGACTGCTTCTTGTCTTCCCTTTCACTTACCTTACGCTGGATGTGAGTAGATGAAGTAAAATAGTGATGTCGAATCTGACACAATAATTCGAAATTTGCAATTTTGAACCAATTGTTTTACCTCAAATATGTGGCAATATGACTATATCCCTGGCATGTTGTTGCTCTTCATGCACTGAGACAACGCTTGTAAGGTTGTTTTGTCCCTATGTTCCCAGTACATGAGCACAAACTAATTTTCATCCTATTTGTTTGTGATACTCTGATTGGTCAGAACTATGCACAATTGGTGCGTATCTTTGGTATTCCACCTTTGGCCTTCATTATACTACTGCATGCTGTACCAATACCCGTGCTTACCCAGGTGCAGTAGTACATATGGAGTCAGGAAAACACAACTTGCATATTATACAAAAGTTATCTAGATTTCATACCATGGTTGCTTCTTTGGCTACGATAGCCCCTTACATACATTAGATGGCTGGTACATAAAGGGTTAAGTCGGATTTTGATGGACGGAAGTAATAAGCAGTTGAAATTCGAAACCTCCGAATTCGACTCTCGATAGTCAGGAACCATTTCAAAATGCAGAACCGCTCTCAAGTTGATTAACTTGATTTACTACCAACTATACCATGGATGTTTCCTCTGAGACATTATGTGTATGTCAACACTGTGCATATGATGGCATCGTTGCCACTGTCATTTTGTTTTTGCCATTGTTGATTTCATCAGCATATCTGGACTGTTGTCTTTTTCTTGCTGTAGACATGTGGCGTCCTGATAATCCCGAGGGTAGGAAGTCCTACGACGGGAGCTTTTTAAGGCAATTTTCTGGTTACGCCGACCCGCCTGCTAACTTGCCAGTGGGGGTTGAGATTCTTCGGGTGAGTTGGCTGCGCTTTCTCGCTATTTTTTGAAGCTATCACCACGCCAGTTATGCCTGTGTTTGGTGTTGATGTCTACACTGCTTTCTGTTTGTTTTTCGTCAATTCTTATCGATTCTTATCGATTGTTGTTCAGCTCATTCCGATATGTTCCATTTAGATGTATTCCTTTTTCCCACTGCTTTCTCTGCAGTCTCCGAATCCCCAATCCCATCAGAGTGGAGCATCGTGAGTTTGCTCTGTCTGTCTGTGTGTGTGTGTGTGTGTGTGTGTGTGTGTCTCTCTCTCTCTCTCTCTCTCTCTCTCTCTCTCTCTCTCTCTCTCTCTCTCTCTCTCTCTCTCTCTCTCTCTCTCTCTCTCTCTCTCTCTCTCTCTCTCTCTCTCTCTCTCTCTCTTTCTCTCTCTCTCTTTCTTTCTCTCTCCGTCCCTCCCTCCCATTCGTGCACCGACACATGCAAACACAAACATCCGGATCATATACTAGTTCTACTATGTTGTTGATACATGTACCATAGTTCTACCATGTACACCCGTCACAAGAGAGGCCCTGAAGCACTGAGGACACATTATACTGAAGCTCCACTGTTCCGAAGATGAGATGATTACAGTGTCGAAGATCAAATCGCCTTGTGTATCTTTAGCACTGTATCATTATCAATAATCATTTCAATCATGAATACAGGCGCCGGGGAGTCTCCACTTACCGCGGTCATCTTTCTCTTTTGTTCTCTTTAGATCCGTTCCCCCGCCTCCGTCGCAAGGTGGCCGAGGCTCGTCAGGTGGCCGGCAAGGCCGGACCAGCCGAAGCAGCGTCTCGTCACAGTCTTCGCGCAAAACGGTCACACTCCAGATGGACACGACAGCAGCGGTGAGTAGATGTTAGCAAGAGTACATAACCCCCCCCCCCCCCCCCAGAGTGTGCACCGCCTGATCCAGCTCTGCATAGGGTCTTTGTCGAGCATAGTCGGATCTTCTGATGTCATGCGTACACACCACACTAGCGCAAGGCCGGTCTCGAGGCAGGGCACCGTTGTTTTTGATCGAAGAGTACCCGCGACTCCCCGGGTTCCCCTAAGATGTGTACGGTATTATCAAGAGTTCATAACCCCCAAGAGTGTGCAACGGGCAGAGACCCAGCTCTCGGCGAAATTCCTACATGACGTCATGCGCAGCTTGTCATCCGAGGTAAATTTGGGTTCTTTGCGATTTCTGGAAACTATACCCTGAACTGCTCCTAACTCAAGGCTGTAGCCTCGACTTCGAAGCTTTTTTTGAAGACATTTCGGACGTACGTCCAAGTCGTACTTTCTCAAAAACAAACTTTCTCCAAGAATCCATGGACATCGTGACAGGAAGAAGTGAGACGCTGTTAAAAAAATTGCATTGCCGTCAAGGACAATCATTCTTATAGCTGTGCAACTCAGCCGAAAAATGCTCCTTCGACGTATTCTCTCAAGTTCCTCAACCATTTGAAATTATCTTCGAGGAAAGCACCGGAAATATGCCGATGGCCTGGGGAAGAAATTGTTCTTGAAGAGACTGACTGCACTGGTGAAAGAAGAATGCGATGAAGAGTCACCATTGCATCGAAAAAATAAATAGTCTTGTCTTTAGGGTGTGCTTTGTTTTACTTTTGCTTCTTGAGGCTCAGACTAGAATCGCAGTTTAGGCAGTTTACGCTGGGGAAGCATCCTGGTTTGACTGTAAATTTTAGAAGAATTCATCGGCGTGACTCATCGCACTGCACCAAAAATGACGCAATGAAGGAATTCCGCCGAGCGGGCTTCCATACAGGGACTGATCAGGAGTTGCACACTCTTGGGGGTTATGAACTCTTGGTATTATGACGCAAAGATCCGATTCCTCTCGACCAAGACCCTATGCAGAGTTGGATCAGGCGTTGCACACTCTGGGGGGGGGGGGGGGGGGGGGGTATGTACTCTTGGTGTTCGTTGTGCTCTCATTTAATCCCTTACCTGAGCGTTGTTACTGGTACGACCAAGCGCTGAGCATGACTAACTGGCTAGTGACGCTTTTCTGTAGGAAAGGACACCGAGCTGTATGCCCACAGTCGAAGACCGCTACCCAATTGTATTTCTGCGCCCTTGTTATCCTTTCCCAAACGTAGCATCACCAGTATGTTGCGACATAGCCGTACTAGACACCAGCAGGCATGCGGAGTCGGCACCTTTGCTCCTACCTCTACTGTACGTTGCACAATAGATATGCTGTATTTTGGTGACTCGATCTCTGTTTTCTAGGTTCAAAGAGAGACCTATGAAATTAGGGATTAGTATCATGTTTCATTTGATCACACATAAGAGCTAAAGGAAAATTGTACTCGGTCCGGCTCATCGCAATTGTCGCTTATCCCCCACGCACTTTTTGACAGGTAAAACCCAGTTCAATCACGATATCTAACTTGCCTTTGTTTGGGAGGCTGTGATGGCAAGATCACAGGAGGCACCAAAGAAAAATGATCGCGACTAGCGCTTTGAATCGCGATGTGTTCGACTTTTTTGGGAAGTGGGAATCTGGCCATTCACTGTCTGTGTTGCCGAAAGCCAAGCGCAGCGACCCGAAGACCGGAACTGTAGCATTCACTGTCTGTGTTGCCGCAAGCCAAGCGCAGCGACCCGAAGACCGGAACTGTAGCATTCACTGTGTTTCCAAAAGCCAAGCGCAGCGACCCGAAGACCGGAACTGTAGCATTCACTGTGTTTCCAAAAGCCAAGCGCAGCGACCCGAAGACCGGAACTGTAGCATTCACTGTGTTTCCAAAAGCCAAGCGCAGCGACCCGAAGACCGGAACTGTAGCATTCACTGTCTGTGTTGCTGAAAGCCAAGCGCAGCGACCCGAAGACCGGAACTGTAGCATTCACTGTCTGTGTTGCTGAAAGCCAAGCGCAGCGACCCGAAGACCGGAACTGTAGCATTCACTGTCTGTGTTGCTGAAAGCCAAGCGCAGCGACCCGAAGACCGGAACTGTAGCATTCACTGTCTGTGTTGCTGAAAGCCAAGCGCAGCGACCCGAAGACCGGAACTGTAGCAGTAGACTGTTAGCCAGGCACCAGAAATCCTGTTAGAAATTTGTTTCCTTCCGACCTTGAGCGTACCGCAATTTTTTTCCCCAGTTCGTTTCATCTGCTCGACTACAGTCCATTCACTGTAAGTGTGCACTGTTATTACATGCTCCCATCATACGACTATGTACAAATACAAGGCAATTTTTTCTGAGTGAATGCACGCTTGCTTGTTGCTCCTTTAAAAAAGAAACCGGATCAAAATCTGTCCAAATTTGAGAGAGAAAATGGAAAATTGATTTTTTTAGCTCGCTTTGCTGGCTGATTTCCGTGCATTTTCTTGCGCTGCTGCTTCGTCTTTGAAGAAGTCATGCACCTTATTAATAATCTCAACTTCTGGACCCGTCAATTTCGGTGTAGCACGTGCTCTGCGCGGCATAGTGACGCCAAATTTGCAACCACTTCTGACTGCAGTGCACTCCAAGCAAATCATGCAAATCACCCCACGTGGGCTTTGACAGCTTTCCCGCGGGATCGCTCATGGGTCACGTGACAAGTGCATCTACGTGGGGTATTCCCCTATCAGGCTGGCGCTGTCATGTAGAATCCATGGGGCATACACAATGGCCCTTTGACTGGATGGAAAAGAGTGCACACTTATATTGGCCCTTTGACTGGAAAAGAGTGCACACTTATATGGAATGGACTTGTAGATACGAATTCAGCTTGTCACTTCCAAATCAGGCACGAACATGCCTAAATAAAAGGGAGAAACTACTTTGACCAAATCAATAGCCGCCATCGACAAGAACCAAGGTCACAAGAGCTGGAGCGGACTCCTGTTGCACCACTGACCTCGCAAAAATGTACGGTGGTGCAAACACAGCCGCATCATGACGATGTTTTTTTTGTGGTTTCTATAGTATTGTGTGCAGTGCTTCTGCTAGTGCAGCGCAGTGGCAGTACGAACATCATCATGTCCATCATATCAGTGTGCTAGCATGCTTGCTGTTGATCAGTCAAGCTAAACCAAAGGTTTTTGTAATCTGTTGGAGCAGAAATAGAACGTAAATGTACAATGTACCTTATCTCCGGAGAGCTAATAACTGTTTCGATCTTTTATACTGAAGTGCTTCAGACTATGATTAACATGAATGATGAAGATGCATGTGCCTTTCCGCTTGTGTTCTGTACATACAATGGGTAATGTTTCAAAATAATTATAATTCAAATAAACTACAGGTCTGTATCTACCGGTATACCCCCTGTGGTCCTCTAACGTTACGGTCGTTGCTCTACCCTTTGCACTTTTAAGTTAGGAAGCAATACAGCAGTACTTACGAAGTAACGTTGCATTGATCAGTTATATGAGTGCAAATATACAAATCCTGTATCCAGCAACTTGTTTAACATTGTTCTGCCATACTGTACATGTATATATTATAGAGATGTAGAGGTGTAATGAGCATTGCACCAGATTAAACCAGGTTCTCCTGGCTGTTGTTGATGGTCTTTTCCAACCGTTGTCCGGAGAATTCGCTGCTGCTGGGCTTTGTATATTGAATGCCACCTGTTTGTTCTGTACATTATTATTGCTGAAATGCATTTCGTGGTTGTCGGCACCATTTCATGTGCACTTACCTACCAGTGCATCGTCACTTCGAGTAATATTTAAAATGTGCGCGTACTTTATACAATGCGCTTTTTGCGTAATTCTATAATTTTTGGCTCGTATAGTTATTTTAACCCAGCTGCAATGACGCTCGATCTATACATTTCTTCGTCCAGTGCCGTTGCCTGCTGAAAAAAAGTAAGAAACACCTTCAAAATAGCATGTTGCTATGTCAGTTGCTATGGAAACGAGGTATGTTAAGATAATTGCTTATTTTGACTTCCCTGTAAGCTTCCCAAACTGACACCAATCAAAAATGATCTTCTATTAGGTCTCTCCACATGCTAAAAGAAAAAAATCGCGGTACACCCAAAGTGGGAACGAAAATCATGAATTCATGCACTTGGCTCACAGGCTACAGGGGCGACTGACATCCTGGCCTGGAGAGCGTAACAGGCACGCGTGCGCGGCAGAGGAGTATGAGCGTCATGCTGAAGAAGAAAGGTGTTTTTGATGCGATGCGCCCGGCCGACGTGTTGGTTGTTCCTTCGCTTGGTGGACCTAGCAGCAGCATTACAAGAGTCGTGGTCAGCGTATCCAGCTGAGCGTATGACAGCTGTCTGGAGAGGCATGTATGCCTCATTCGAAAGGCTTTGTTGAAACAGCTGTGGTGACACACAGGTCACACTGCAAGCACCGAAGTGACAGCCACAACTGTTCCTTTCTCATTGCTGCCATACGACAGGCTGAGAAAGCAAGAAATATTCTATCAGTCTACGCCAGCAGCTAGACACCAGCAAATGTCAGCTCGCGTAACAGCGCGGCAGCTCGAGTGATGCAGAGTTGAATGAGCTCTGGACCTCTATTACTAGTGTGAGTGCAAGAATGCGCTCCTTTGCTGATCTAGTTCGTGCATTTTGCTTACCTTGCTTCCTTTCTTCGACTCGCTTCACCTGATTTCATTGCTGAACCTTTTATCTTGTGGTGGAGAGTATTCATGACATTGTATCATTCTTCCTCACTATGTCTATTGGAAATTTCACTGAGCGGTAAAAGAACTCCTGTTCTTAGTGGCGATAGATAAGCGACAATTGCGATGAGCCGGACCAAGTAGTTAGGGGATTGAAGCAAGGAAACCGCGGCCAAGATCTGCAGGGCTGAGGAAGCCGCACAGCAGACCGGTGACGGCATGGTACCGGCATCCGTGAATGCCGCAACAAGGTCGTCGTATCAACGCAGCAAATCCGCTTTGGCTAGTAAGCCGAAACCTGCTGCAGATGACAAGCCGGCGAAGTGCTCGCAGTGCGGACGATCTCAGCACACGAAGTCAATGTGTCCCGAATCCCTTCGCACAAATCATATCCCCAATTCATTTCGCCAGGAGCTTAACAATTTCATTAATCTTGGGCACCCTGTAAGAAGACCTTAGGGTCTGTTGGGAATTCCCAAGTAAAATAATAAAATACAATACAATACAATACAATGTGTCCTGCCAAGGGCAAAGAGTGCCGTAAGTGCAAGGGCAGGGACCACTTCGCAACAATGTGCCGCAAGACCATCGCATGCCTCACCATTCACGCAGTGCAGGCTGGTTACAAAGTGATGCTGTCAACACGTCTTGACGACAACGACCGGTCGTGCACGTTAGAGTGGTTGCCAGATACTGGCTCGGATGTTGATGCTATTGGTGCTAGTCATCTCCGCAGACTTGGTGGCAGTGTAGCTGATCTGGAACCTGACCCCGACCATGTCGCCGTGAACGGTCAGCCATTGACCAGCTTGGGAACTGTTCCCGCCAGGGTTGTCGCTCGTGATGTCACGCACACCACTCGTCTACATGTGTACGACGAACTCAGTAGCGCATTGCTGTCGCGCTCATCGCTCAAGGCGTTAGGTTTCTTGCCGCCTAACTGGCCACAGATCGCTTCAGTGACACAAGGGACATCCCGTTCTGCAGAGTACAGCAACCCTACACCAGACCAGCGTGTACGTATCCTCCAGGACCTCCTCGACGAGTTCGCAGACGCATTTGCAGAGGACACGCTCCGACCCTTGGACGGTCAGCCGATGCACATCCAACTCGCGCCTGACGCCCAGCCGTTCAAGTTGAACAATGCCAGTCGGTTACCTTACGCCTATCGTGACCAGGTGAAACTCCAGCTGGACAAGATGGTCGCAGATGGCATCATCGCACCGGTCTCAGAGCCAACGGAGTGGTGTCACCCCATCGTCATAGCCGAAAAGAAAGGCACTGCAGAAGTCCGGATGATGGTGGATTTCACTAAGCTTAACAAGCAAGTCGCCCGGCCCGCGCATCCCATGCGCGCACCTCGCGATGTTGTTTCTAACCTTGGTAACGCCCAGTATTTTACCAAGCTGGATGCTCGCCACGGCTACTGGCAGGTCCCCTTGGACGAGGAGTCCAGAAGCTTGACCACATTCATCACACAGTGGGGCAGATATCAGTACCTGCGGAACCCACAAGGTCTGATTTCTGCTGGCGACGAATTCAACCAGCGGACCGATGCAGCATTCGCTGGTATTGAGCAATTCTCCAAGGTCGTGGATGACTGCCTGGTCTTCACTGATTCCTTTGAGCAGCACCTGGAACGAACTCGTGAAGTTCTTCAACGCGCTCGTCGGTATGGTATCGCCCTGTCAGCCAAGAAGTTTGCTTTCGCCGAGACCGAGATCAACTCCTGCGGCTACGTGATAAACAAGTCCGGCTGGAAGACAGGCCAGGAAAAGACCCGCGCTATCACCGACTTCGAGATCCCTGCCAATCGCACTGACTTGCGATCATTCATGGGTCTCGTCAACCAGTGCAGTGATTTCAGCTCAGCCATCGCCGAACACGCAGCACCTCTCCGCGGTCTGCTGAAAGCCAAGAATGAGTTTCTCTGGCTACCCGAGCACACAGTCGCTATGGACGCTGTGAAGCAAGCACTTGTTGACCCACCGTTATTGGCCTTCTTCGACCCGTCAGCACAGACACGCCTCGAGTGTGACGCCGCTAGGACCAAGGGTCTCGGATTTGGCCTCTGGCAGTACCAGAATAATTCGTGGCGCCTCATTCAGTGCGGCAGCAGATTCATCACCGACACCGAATCCCGGTACGCAATGATCGAACCGGAGATGTTGGGTGTCGCCTGGGCCATCCGAAAATGCCACACCTATCTTGCTGGCATGTCGTTTCATGTAGTTGTTGACCATCAGCCCCTTGTTCCAATATTGAACACCTACACACTGGACCAGGTTGAGAAACCTCGGCTCCAACGTCTGATGACCAAGGTACAACTCTATCAATTCGACGTCTCGTGGCGCAAGGGCTCTGAGCATGCCTTTGCTGATGCCTTGTCGCGTGCTCCAGTGGAGAACCCGGTTGCCGATGATCTCCTGGGAGAAGCCGACTCGCTATCTGGACAAGCCATTCGTGCATGCCTTCAGCAGGATGACTCCGGATCAGCGCTATTTGGTCTCCCGTTCCACGAGCTCCGCGATGCCGCTCAGTCTGACGTTGTTTACGTGCAGTTAGTCTCCTATATTCGTGACGGCTTCCCTTCTGCCAGACGTCACATGCCACCTGCTCTCGCTCCGTATTGGAATGGTCGTGAGCACCTCACCCTGGATAACGGCATTGTCCTCCGTGGCTCTCGTCTTGTTGTGCCCAAGTCTCTACAACGCCGTGTACTGACTGACCTGCATTCGTCTCACCAGGGCCTGGAACGTACCAAGCGTCGTGCGCGTCAAGTGGTTTACTGGCCGAGGATGAGTGATGACATCACAGCCCTGATCCGTGCCTGCCCTGTCTGTCGTGAGCTCCAACGTTCGCAGCAGAAGGAGCCATTGATGCGCGAGCCACAGCCGACATTTCCATTCGAGTATGCCAGCGCAGATCTCTTCTGCCAAGGCTGGCAGTTCCTGGTATATTCTGACCGTCTGTCCGGTTGGCCGTGTGTAGCTCGAATTGGCCGTACCGCTACCTCCCATGACGTCATTTGTCACTTCCGCCGTTGGTTCGCAGATGTTGGCGTACCGCGCAAGATATTCACTGATGGAGGCCCGCAGTTTGCCGCTTCCCGTGTATGTGAGTTCTGTGAGCGTTGGGGTGTGGAACAGTGCTTTTCCACCCCACACTACCCTCAATCCAATGGCCACGTGGAATCAGCAGTGAAAGCAGTGAAACTGCTCATTGAGAAGACGACCCTGAATGGAGATCTGGATGTAGACTCCTTCCAGCGCGGCCTGTTGGAGTGGCGCAATACTCCCCGCACTAATGGCAGCAGCCCCGCCCAAGTGTTGTTTGGTCAGTCCCTCCAGTCGTTTGTGTTCGCCCACCGTGCCAGCTTTGATCGACACTGGATTGGGTCTGCTGAAGCTGTGGACTCTGTAGATCCGAAAACACATTATGACAAATCGGCACGCTCTCTCCATTCTCTACGGATTGGCACCCATGTTGATGTTCAGCACCACCAGACCAAGCTGTGGTCCATGCGTGGCGTTATTGTTGCAATTGGCAGTCGGCGCGACTACTTCGTCAAGATGCCTAGTGGCCGTGTCCTCTGGCTTAATCGCCGCTTTCTCCGTCCGTATGTTCCCCCATGTGTTGACTCCGCTAGTCATACCCCTTCCCCGACTTCATCAGTACGTGTACCTACTGACACCGCTACTCAGCCTGTTCGTCGTAGCACTCGTATTCGCAAGACGCCTGACCGTCTCACCATTACATCTACGTCTGGGCAGTCATATGTGTGACACTGTTTGTCTGTAACATTAAATGGTCTCATCTTGACATCCTGCCTATGTCACAAAAACTAAAGCTTGGTGCGTCGACAATGCTCTGCCTCAATTTCTAGCTGATTTCTTTGCCCTTTGAGTGGACAAAGTATTTTCAAAAAATCGCTCTGCGAAGCGACAAATTTAATGTCGCGGAGGAAGTATTTGTTGAGACAAAACAGGTTTTATCTCAGAAGGGGCGTGAGAGTATAATTATTATTATGTTACTGTGTTTGTTATTTCGTGTCAGGTTGACACCCATGGGATTTTATCTTCGAAGGGGCGTGTTATGTTATGACGTAATGCCGTACAACTTTAGCTCTACTGTGTATGCACGCACGCATATCTTTGAAAGGCTTCTCTGTCGTTGACAGATTGAATCTTGTCAGTTTTTCTACTCCGTGCATTCTGAATAATAAACTACTTGCCTCTTGTCTACCGAACCTAACAGGGGTTATTGCCAAAGTTTTTGTCTGCCCTGAAACGAACATAGTTCATTTCTTACTCCGACCCCCTCCCCTACTCGGAAATCAATACAGTTTGCTGTGCTGGGCGACACAACGCACCCCTTACCCCAAATGATCACCCAATACGCCAAACTCAGGGTTGTAACTACAAGTTTCCTCTCTCCATACTGTGTGCACGGACTCCACCCTTGGTCCACCTTACGGTGTTGAGCACTCGTTGCTCGGTGGTGTTTCAGTTGATCCTGACCTTGTGCGTTTCATTGTTTTGTCTTTTCAGGAGCCGTTGCAGAAAAGCTCTAATCGTTGGAAGCCAACCCGCGAGAAAAAGACGGATGATTCCAGCGATGCCGAGACGCAAGTAAGTGTGACAATTGTTGGTACCCACTTATACACACATGCGCAAACACATGCGGCAGGGTTCATGTGCCTTGCATTGTCATACCAAGTTGTGTAAAGGAAGAGGATAGCTGAGAGTCTGCTTTACCACCTGCACCTTTTGAATTTGGTCAAGATTTGGCTGGATTACGAAAGTTTGACCGAACCCACATGCATCGAGATGTGAATTGTTCGATTTTGAACAATGGACTCCGAATGCTCGATGTGATTCATTCCTTTTCCTTTTCTGTACCTTATTCCAACCACCTCATTTTTGATCTTTTTGTTTCCCTTCACAGGCGGTAATTAGCCGAATGATGACGATCCTTAACAAATTGACACCGGAGAAGTTTGAGAGGCTCGCCACGGCGATTGATGAGTTGGAAATAAACTCTGAAGAGAGGCTGCGTGGTGTGGTAGAGCTCATCTACAAGAAGGTAGGGTGACGTAGTCGCACTACAGTCCATTCATTGGAAACTGGCACCCTAACTTTTTGGCGTCTCCCGCACATAGTTGTAGATATCGTGAAAACAACAGTACATCCTGCATTGTGTGACCCGTGCAATTACTCCTTGCCACATAGTGACATTTCAGGCCAGAAAAGTCCAAGAACCAGAAATAGAAATTCAGCCAGGTTTTACAAAATTGGGACAGGTATGCCATGGCAAAATGAATGGAGAAGCAGATCCCAAACCCAGTTTTGAGATTTTAAGTGGGTTTTTGATCCTCAATTCGGCCCAAATCGGGCTTTCAAAAGCCAGTGGGACTGTTTCCGATGAATGGACTGTAGGCACAGGAGTAAACCCGAGATAGTTTGTATGCGGCCAGTTTCCTCGGATACAATAATGCGATAATACTGAGAAGAAGGACTGTCAAGCCTTATTGTCAGGTGAAATACAGGCAAAATCAAATGAACGAAGACAGAGGACAATGAACAAGGACAATTCACCCGAGGATAATGCTTGAAAGTATATTAGTGAAAACTTTCGAGATGTTGTTCAAGAGGCTAACGTGCGTCCTTCTTCTCAGTATGATTTGTACGCATTTTGAATTAAGTTTTTCGTGTACGCTGGCTTACCGGAGTACAATGCGCACTTTACCAGTACCGTAAAGTACCGTTGATCCGCCCCCTGTCGACTTTCTGCCAGTGAAGCGACTTCGGCGTATACAACGCAATACGATGTTGAACCGACGCATGCACTGCTGTACAAACTACGTGCCAATCCAGGATGAAAATG